GGATGATGGGCTTTTTATGCACCCCCCGCGGACAATCAGACATAATTCCCCCGGAATCACTAAATTTTATTTGTTTTTGTTCTGATTCTGATTTTTCAGATACTAACCCCAACAATTGAATTGAAATGGCCGGTTATCCGTCTAATTATCTATGATAAATTTGGGAATTAATAATTCCGCATTAATAAATCATCCCCGGAGAAGTGAAACTTTTGATTCAAATAAGATTCTTATTCTGAAATTTTTCTATTTATCTCGGGAATAATTCTAGTGGCAGTTAATAAAATCATGTAGTTACTTTAATGAGAATGTTGATGACGTATTGTTCAAAATTTTCCACTGAAATTTCACGGAATTTTGTCATTCAAAATTCATAATTGCAGGGAAAAATCCGTGGGAATTGTAATTTTCAGGTTAATTAGATTCTGAAACGCCCTACCCTTGTTAGGTAAAATTTTCAATCCTCCCCTATTGTGCGTCCATCCTCCACCCCCTCACAAAGTCCAAATACTCAAGATTTTTATTTAAATTTAACAATTTAATTTTTTTATTTACTTGACGCATGCGAACGGAGGGATGACTCTACTTGAATTTCCAAAGAAACTTGAAATTCCATTGACTTTTTCCCCTTAATTCAAATTCAAGCTCCATTTCCGAAAAATTCAGCCAAATTTTTTCAACACTGCCTACGATAAAACATCTACTTATTCCCCCCGAATTCTCTATCAGAATCCAATCAACAACTCACTCAATTTAAATAGACTTCACTCAATCCAAACAAATAATTTTTCTGAGTAAAACAAAAAAGAAAAATGCAAATGCTCTCCATAAAGTTGCAATTACACGATTCATAATACTTCCTCGTGATTGCCCAATCCCCTGCGATCCCCTCAGTTGAAATATTACCCTAAATAACATTTTTAAGAAATTGATTGAGTTGATTATTGCCAACAAACATTTATTCTCCGCAATCACGTAAAATCGTGCAGGCATTCATTTTTCATTTATGGACGGACATTTATTTTTGTCATTACGGGTCTAAAAATAAGGAAATGGGTAAATGCATCCGAGGGGGGGCTGGGGGGGGGGTTGTAAGGGGGGTAAAGAGGAGAGAGAAATAAAGTCCAGTGGCCAGAGGAGAAACGAGCAATTGATGAATATCGGGGAGTTCTCCGCAAAATGCTGTAAACTCGAAAATTCCGATATTCATCGCTGGGGGAGGGAGGGGGGCATCTGAGATATCTTGGAGACCCCGCGGGTGTGTTTCGCACGTGGGTGTTGGCCAAGCACACGGCAACCTTGACTGTAGGCCCTGACTGATGGATTTGCGCATGGCGTGAGGGGCAAAGCAGTGCCACCAGAGGCTAGATGTCTCGATAGGTCCTCGTTATTCCCGGGCTAAAGAGTTGGTTTACTGATGAGGAGTGACTGTTTGGAAATATAATTTGCCTCGGTTGTCTGGATATTTTTGACGGGGGCTTAGTTGTGGAGGAGAGGATTTGCGCGGGGAATACTTCCTGATTCTGATTTTTCAAGTACAAACCCCAACAATTTAATTGAAATGGCACGTTTGTCCGGCTGATTATCTATGATGAATTTATAAATGAATAATTTCGGGTAAATAAATCATCCTCTAGTGTCATTGAAAATTCGTAATTTTATGGAACATGCGAGGAGTCCGTGCACTGTTGGAAATTTTCCGAAATTTCAAGGAAAATATGATGGAAATTCTCATCTGAGTGACATTTAATCGGATTTAGCGGGAAAATTCGTATGAAACTTCGAGTTTTAGGTAGAATTCAAGGAAATTCGTGAGTTTTCAGGGGGAGTGAGATGAAAAAATTACAACTTGATTGAATTTCCAATGAAACATGAATATTTTAGAAACAAAGTGACATGAATTTTCAATTTTTCCCTGATTTTTCTGAATTTTCACGGAATAATTTAACTGGAAAATCAAGTATTTTGTTGGTTATCAGATCATTCGAACAAAAAATCAATGGGACATTTGATTTTTAACGTGATAAAAATTTCCAGAACTAGAAATGTTCGAGCTAGGGGTTTCAATTTAGCTCAGTTTCATCAATCACATTTTATTGTCGAATTATATGTCAGTAATTTTCTTACAATTTTTTTAAATGTAAAAATGTAAAAATTGATTTTTTTAAATTAAAAAAATACAGCTGAAAAAAATTTTTGCCATTTTTAAAATTTTTATTTTCACGTAAATAATAAATTTTTTGAAATTGGGAATTGAGAAAATAAAAAAATTCCATCTGAAAAATGCCAACATGAAATATAAAATAATCCAAGCTAAGCTACGATTAGAATTCTCATTCCACGACCATGCCATGACTCGGCGGAATAGATCGGCGACGGAAAACGTTCCACCAAATTTCTCATAGAGAATTTCGCACGGAAAATTCAGAGGAAAATTGTTAGCAGCGTTGAGTGCTGCGTGCTTGAAACCCGCTTTGTCCCGCAGCTCTACTACACATTCGCCTCAGACATAGCCTCCCGTCCCTAAATATTAAAAAAAATCCAAATTAGTGCCACAAGGTTTACGCATGGCGGCTCAGATTATGATCAAGTCCCAACTGGCGATGGATTACAATATGTGGTGCGTTGGAGCAACGGGGGATGGTTCTTGGCGGGTGGGCGTTGGTCACCTGGCTAAAACCTTGTCACTCACTTGATTCATACCCCCCTCGAGGCCACTGAGTGCCCCCACGCGCATGATTCATGGGAAAAATTATTTTCTGCCTCTTCATCGTGATGAGAATAATTAAATCGGTGATGGAGTTTACGAATAAATGTGGAATGGTATCACATGGGGTGGGCAGCGGGCGGTGGTAGGGGGGAGGGGAGGGGGGAGGGGGGTCGGTCAGACCCACGCTCCTTGAGTTTGTGTGCCAACGGGCAGTGCGCCCGCGATAACACGGTCGTGCGACCTGGTGCTCTTGGCTTTCGAAAGGTATTATCGATCTGTCCGGTTATCGTGATCTCACGTGACTACTTCGGCGTGCGAGTATTCGCGCAAACACTAATTAATTGACATTTTCGGTGGATCCCAGCCGTTTAGGGGAACATGAATCTGTGAGTTCAGAGGGAATCCACTTCATTACGGATTAATGGTAATGAATAGATTTTTGGATGGATTGTGTTCGATCAATAAACATTTTTCATTCACAAGTGTGAAAATTACTGACGAAATGATTTTATAAAATTTGGAGTCTCTTTCAATGAATGAATTATTCATTCATTATATTTTAGACTTGAAGTCTATTTTTCTCATTAATTCACAAAACTAAAAACAAATTATTTACACTGAATAATTTTTCTTTTTACAATTGTTTTCGATAAATAAACATTTTTCATTCACAAGTGTGAAAATTACTGACGCAATAATTTTACAATATTTCGAATCTCTTTAGTTTGAATTTTTTATTGCAATTTTATCTGATTCAGTTATTCATTCATTATATTCGAGACCTGAAATTAATTTTTTTCATTAATTCGCAAATCAAAAAACAAATCATTTACACTGAATAATTATTATTTTTCTAATGAGAAAAAAAATTTTATACGAATAATTGTTTACATTGTAACGTATCAACCACCAACGCAATTTTTTCCTCAATGGATTCCCCCTTTTTTCCCAACTTCGTGAAGAATTAACGACCGTGAAGTTGTTTCCATGATAATGATACCAGTATTGCGGCCAAAATGCAATTCTCCTATCGCTAAAGCTTGAGGTACGTGTACGTACGTACACTGGAGAATACCTCGGGTTTTTAATTAAAATGCTTAGGGGTTAGAAAGCGTGATGAATGAGATTTCGCCGTATATGGCGCCTGTGCGCCCGAAGAACTCTATTAATTATTGGATGACACAAAATCCATTATCCGGGACGGTTTCAGAAATTGAAACAGATGTACGGGAGGTGGACGAGGTTGAAAAAAATGAGGGATTCCTCTGTTTCTGGACGTTTGAACTCGACCGCGAGGTTCATGTCATGATTATTATTATTATTATTTTTTTTTAAATTATTATTTAAAGTGCTGGAATTGGAATCGTGGATTATTCACGCTGTAGTTGCTGTTTTACATTTCTCAATTCGTTGCTCTTATTACAGTTGATCTCCTTTTTACATTTTAGATTTTTAGTTCACATTCTTTAAGGCATTTGCAAATTATTTCTATTTATGGTATTTATGGTCAGTTGCTTCTACAAATTTTTTGGTAGGAAGAGTACATGTTTTTTAAGTTATATAATAATTTGATTCTCTGTCAATCGTAGTTTGGGCGGTGCCACAGTACATGATCGAATGATTATTTGCTGATGGCTTTCTGCAGTGCAAAAATTTATTTCGATAAGATTAGGTTAAAAAATTTCGGATTTGACGAGTACAACTTCCATTCGGAAAAAATGAGAGAATAAATGTGGAAGTACTTGGATATGCTGAATCGCTGTGCCGCACAAGCTATCACGCATGAAAAAATTCAATAGAAAAACTAGCGAGTTCGCTAGAAAATTCGATTGGAATTCTACTTGTTTTTTGCGCTAATTCTATTGGATATTAACAATAAACAAAAGTCAACAGATATCAAATTTCTGTTTGAATTTTTCTCTTAGATTTTTTCTATTAGAATTACTGGACACAAATTTTCTAAGTTTTTTCCACTGGATTTTGTTTTATTTTGCAGAATTCGAGTGGAAAAAACTTGGAAAAGTGGTGCCCAAGCATTCTTATAGAAAAAATCTCAAGAGAAAAATTCAAACAGAAAATCGAAATCTGTTGACTTTTTCTTATCGAATATCCAATAGAATCAGCGCAAAAAATTCCAATAGAATTTTCTAGCGAATTCGCTAGGCTTTCTACTGCATTTTTTCATATGTGAGCCCGAATCAAGAAAAACACCATTTCTTTCTGTGTTGTACGACTTCATGATTTATATTCGTTTCATATCACTAACAAATTGCTTGTATTTCCGTTTCAGCTTGAAACCACCGCAGAAAGACGGCGTGACCAAGTCAAATCCAAGCAAACGACACAGAGAGAGGCTCAATGCTGAATTGGATACGTTAGCGTCGCTCCTTCCATTTGAGCAAAACATTCTCAGTAAATTGGATCGGCTAAGCATACTCAGGCTCAGTGTCAGTTATCTCCGCACCAAGAGTTACTTCCAAGGTGAGTTTTATCACCGTTAAAATTAACCCCGACTGTTGCTTCTTGATCATTAGCATTTTTTGCCCTTTATTTTCGCTTTTTTCCATTGGCATTTCGTCAAAAGAAAAACAAAGTAATCGAATTATTTTATTATCTCTCGTGGATCCCTCGGCGAGAGGAATTTTCTGGGCTAGGTGCACGCGATTTACTCGTTACACTCGGTACCGAAAACAATGGGGAAGGGGGAACAATGGGAAAAAGTGATCAACGAAATTTGTCTTTGTTTCGCTGGGGAATTGAGGTGAGTGAAAAAATGGGGGTTTGAGGCACGGGGGATTGTTTGTTCGCAAAATGCATTTTTGCAATTTTAATGGCGGAGAATTGCAATTCTACAATTGTTCCGTTTTCATTCGACTTTTTTTATTTTTCTCTCTTTCACAGTTGCTTCGTTTCTGTCTTATTGGAGCGAAAGCAACTCAATTAATGATAGAGGTGAACGATGAGTGAGAAATTAATGAATAGGTGTGAAGCTTTGATCATTTCGCTTTCACTTTTTTAAGGCACCCGATCAATACACGTAATTGTTGATTAATAAGGGAAGCGTTAGAAATCGATTTTAATTATTGTTTTGTTAAACATTCGTTGTTTATGAATGAATAATTGAAATTGTTTAAACATTGGGAAGCCTTTTTTTTATTTCAAGGATTTTCGTCGTTGAAAATTCAGAATTTTGTGGAAAAATCTAGGAGAATTGTCAGTTTCAGTTCCATTTTTCCCTGAAAATTAATGGAAAACCAGAAAATTCTGGAATTTTACTCAATTTTCAGTGAAACCTGACATTTCGTGATTTTTTCAAATTAGTAGTCAACTGCCCATGAAATTACATTTTTTACCAACAGTGTAAAATAAATTTGTTATCGGATTACAATTTAGTTCCACGATTACCTCTCGTATAGTAAAGTTTGCTACGATTTTCTAGATAATTTCTATCCAACTGTTCTCTCCGTGCAATGAAACTTTTTTCTCATCAGCCTTTTAATTTTTGAACGGAAAGAAAGAGGAGAAAAAGGTAACGGGATCAAGACAGGGAGAAAAGGAGTGAGAGTAGGGCCCGTGTCCCTTCTGGCGATATCGTGAATCTCGCAGTATATCACTCGGGACTCCTCGAGAGGGCAGAATACACACCGGTAGCATCAGCACTTGGGGTAACCCTGGCGGGTGTGTGAGTCTTCTTTTTTTTTCAACTCTGGAAACGGTAGCAGTTGGGTCCAAACCAGTGGCATTGTTCACACCATTTTAATAGGTATTCATTGTCGGGACTTTGCCATCTTTGCGCCGGGGGAGGTTTGTCGCCACCCGTGTGATACCCAGATAATTCGAAATGTTTCAGAAATTGATTCGGTCGTGATGGGATGAATCATTTTTATTTCAATTCCCGTTCACAAAAATATTTTTTCCTTCAGTGAAACAAGAGAAAACAAATAAAAACAGTTAAGATATTGCGGACCCATTTTTCTTATTTTGTCACCTGTAATCGACGGAATCCACAGTTTTAAATTATTCAGACATGTTCAGGACGGATTTAATTACTTCGGAAATTTTATTATTTAAATTTTAAGGTCATAATTTCCTTTTTCATTTTCAAGCGTTACAAAACGTTTTTAAAAATCTAAAAAAATTGGAAGTTCACGTTTTCCGAAGATCCCCAACTTCAATAGTGAAGTTATTTCAATATTTTTCCCCAGTGTCTGCATTACATTCTCAAGCAGTCGCGCAAATTGCTGACCAGCAGTTGCAGCAACTAATCTTCCTTTTTCCCGAAAAACAAAAATTTTTATTTCCCTTGAGAATCAGTAGTCTCAACCGTCCGGAACACCCGTATCGCCCCGTTGAATCGTGTTGGTCTCGGGGTCACAAGGTCGCGAGATCTCTCACACCGAAGCGACTAATGTTTTAGCCTGTTAACGAGAATCACTGAAGCACAGGCAAACGTATCTCCCTCATCCCCAACTGTTTTTTACTCGAAAAATTTCCACCCGAGTATTTACTATTGGTGAAACAAAATAAAGAGAAAATTTCGCACAATGGAATTCATTCCGGGAACGGGGATTGGAGAAGCAACCCCGGCAGAATCTAGCCGTCCAATCGCAGTTACGTGCTCCCTACCTCCACTTCTACTATGTAAATTAATTAGGCCCTTGGTATGCGCTGATTTTTCAACGGAGAGAGGGGAGAGGCACCTCCCCCCGCCGAGGGCGCTCGTCCTTTCAATTTTTTTTCTTCGATTTTATTTTTCATCTTCATTTTTTTTATTTAGTTTTTATTTTGATTCTCGGCATTTTATTCAGCGGTTTCCCTCTCCGACTTGGTCTCTCTCGTTTCACGGAGATAATGGATCTCTCCATGGTGTGGCTACTTGGCGACTACGTGGTCCCACAGCTGATCCCGAAAGGGGTGATTTTCTCAGTGTCGAGAACCACCGAGCTAGGGAATTCTCACCAATTAATTCCCCCACATTTTTATTCAATTTGTTACGAAAATACGAAATTATGTTGTGATAAGATTTTTCCTTGTTTTCGGTTTAATTTGAAGTAATTGAAGGTTGTAATTAGTCTCCGCGGTGTGTCATTATTTTCATTCGGCAATTAATTTTATCTAGTAGGATGGAGGTTTCGTCGGCTTTGGAATTGCGCTATTAAATGGATTTTTTTTTCATGATTTTAACTTCGTGGAATTTTTTCAAAAACTTGTAAAGTTTGAAGGTAATTGCAAAATAGTTAGTCCAAGATTTTTATCGGAATAAGTTTATAAATATCATAAAAATTTACATGAAAAATAAATCTGAGATTATTTCAAATTGTTAAAAAAATATAGAATTGTTAATAAATATATAATATTTTTTTATAAAAATTGGAATAGTCTCAGACTAGTCTGTAAATACCTCAAAACCTACTAGGATTTATGAAAGACATTAAAAAAATCAGCGAAATTTATTAAAGAATTTTTAATAAATTCACTAGGAAATTGTAATCATAAGTTTTTGTATTTATTTATTTTTTCCGAAGATCTCTAAAGTTCCAAAATAATTACAAAATAATTTGTCCCCGATTTTCTCTGAACAAAAGCAGTTTGACATTTTTCTCTCAATTCCTCAATTTCCAAGATGTTCACGAAATAATTTCCATTGCATTCATCTTCTAGCCCCACGTCAAAATAATTCTCTTCCTCAAACCAAAGTCACCTCATCCGTTCATTCGCAAGCATTCAACCCATTCAAATAAACTCAAATGAAATAACGATTACGTAAATCCAATTAATTACCCTTTGAATTTAAATTGGACCGTCGTAGGGTGACGAATTGATCTCGCCTGTGCGCGTGGATTTGATGGGACATTACACGTTGTACAAACGTGTGCCCTCCACGGACATCATGTCGCGGCGGTGGACCCCGAAGGCAGAAAGGGGGCGGAGGGATCGGCATTATTAATCTGGCGCAGTTATTAATGAAAGGGGCTAGGCGCATTACACGGACCGAGTCCCAGAGAGCTTTATTCACACTTCTACTCTGGATGACTCGCGAGTAGGATGTACACTGCGGGGACACCAGGAACTCAATTTCCTGGTGAATTGAACGTTAAACTCGTAATAATCCGGGAATGATGACTAAATAATCTCGTGCACTTCAAGTTAATTGTGAGTTCTAATTAACAGTTCAAAAAATGTTGGGAAAAAAGTAAAATCTAGCGAGCAAAGAACACGGAAAAGAAGGGAAATTTGCGCTCTAATTTAGATTTTTTTCCCGAAAAATTGAGAGGAGTTTCTATTACTATGGATTCAACCATTTTCAGTCATCAAATTTGTCAATTAAATTGCGTCAGAAAAATTTGAAAAGAATTCGTGAATATTTAGCTTCATTCAAATAATATTCGTTGTTTTTAGGCATGAAATCGATTCCTGGTACAGACGATTTTTTTGTTGGAAAATTGATTGTTTGTAAATTATTCATAGAAAATGCTCGTAATTTTCAAAAATTGAAATTTTTAATTCATTTCATCAATCTTCCTCCAAAAGTAAACTTTCATTTTTTTTCAGATTTTTAAAATATTTTCTAACGGTTCAATGTCGCGATTCAAATTCAGACTTGCAAAGTTTCTCTCTATATTATAAAAATTCACATCGACTTCTGGTGATAAAAATTTGGTTTTAGATAAAAATTACGTGACAGTTCTGTAAAATTTCCGCTCCGGAATTACGGAACTCACAGTTCGCTCACCGACTACGGAATCGACTCAGAAAATTTGAGTGACGGTATCGTAATTTTTCACAGGAAATTCAGATAAAAATTACGGAACGCTCTGGAAAAATTCCGTGATTTTAGATAAAAATTACGTGACAGTTCCGTAAAATTTCCTACAACCACATTTCACTCCGGAATTACGGAAAAGATATACGTTATTTTTATTGAATATTTCTCTCCGTGCGAGAGATGACCGAGAGTCCAATGCTCACAGTTCTGGTGCTCCCGTTGGGTACATAAGTGACTGCTTTGACCGCTCAATATATCGTACACTTGAATATATCATAAAAGTCTCGTGGGATATACCCTACTCTGGGGGGGGAGGGGGTTGGAGGGGTAGGGGATCCCTTCTGGTATACAACGGGGTATCGCGCCGTCGTATATACGAAGATACGACCCGGAGATACGCTTGCCTCCTCGTTATTACTCCTCATTTGCATTTTTCCCATTTCGTATCGCGGGCACCTGGCCACAAACCGCCTCTCCTGCCATTCAGACATATACCACATTTATACAACCACCCGAAATTAGCCAATCTAAGGTATCATTGAATTGTGATTTTATTCAAAATTGGTTGAGATTGATAAAAAAAAGGAATGAGGAATAAAATTATACTTGAAGTAACAAATTATCGTTTTTAACTGGGGACTATTGGATATCATTTTCGGAGATGGCATATATTCTCGATCGATTCGTAGGACTTTTCAGGTGGAAAATCGGCGCT